GGGTCCGGGCTGGGGATTCGAACCCACCACCTTAGGTGTACGTGGCTGGCGCCTTAGCCGGTTGAGCTATAGGTGCCGAGCCTCTCTGCTGGATTTTGAGCTTCTCTAAAGTCAAGAGCCAAGCCTCATTCACTGCTGCTTCCCCCAGTGCTAGGCACAGTAGATAGATGCTGAATATTTCAGAAAAAGATGCATGGATCAAAAGTTGGCCTTTGTGTATCAAAGGACACAAACCACAGAGTGAAAAGCAACCTACAGAATGGGAGAAAATATCTGCAAATCATATACATATATGATAATGGGTTAACAACTGGAATATATAAAGAAACTGGGTACGGTGGTTCATGCCTGTAATCCCAGTACTCCGGGAAGCCAAGGCAGGTGGATCTCCCGAGCTCAGGAAATCGAGACCAGCGTGAGCAAGAGCAAGACCCTGTCTCTACTGAACAAAAAAATCCTAACTGGGCATTGTGCCAGGCACTTGTAGTCACAGCTACTTGGGAGGCTGAGGCAAGTGGATCACTTGAGCCCGAGTCCAGGGTTGCTGTGAGCTAGGATGCCATAGCATTCTACCCAGGGCACAGAGTGAGAGAGACTAAAAAAAAAGAATATATAAAGAACTCCTATAACTCAACAACAATAAAATTAACCTAGCTAAAAGTGGGCAAAGGATGCAAAGAAACACTTCTCACAAATTAAAATTACCTTATATCCATTATTATGGATACTATAAAAAAACTGAAAATAACAAGTGTTATGAAGGACATGGAGAAACTGGAACTCATGTGTACTGTTGGTGCTGATGTAAAATGGTACAGCTGCTATGGAAAATAATATGGCAATGTTTCATAGGAAGGGTAAATTGGCTCATGTCTATAATTCTAGTACTTTGGGAGGTCAAGGTGAGAGAGGTGAGAGGATTGCTTAAACTCAAGAGATCGAGATCCTACCTCTACAAAAAATTTTAAAAATTAGCCAGGCATCGGGCAACGCCTATGGCTCAGTGAATATGGCGCGGCTCTCATATACCAGAGGTGGCGAGTTCAAACCCAGCCCCGGCCAACTACTGCAAAAAACAAACAAACAAACAAACAAAACCCAATTATATAAAATTAGCCAGGTATCATGGCCCGTGTCTGTAGTCCCAGCTACTCAGATGGCTGAGGTGGGAGAATCACTTGTGCACAGGAGTTCAAGGCTGTAGTGAACTATGATAGTGCCATCATATTCCAACCTGTATGACAAAGCAATATATTATTTATTAAAAAAGATGATATTAAAAATAGAATTACTATATAATCCAGTAATTCCACATCTCCATATATACCATAAAGAACTGAAAGCAGACTCTTGAAATATTTATACATCCATGTTGATAGCAGCACTATTCACAAGAGCCAAAAGATGGAAGCAACCCAAAGTGTCCATCAGTGGATGAATGGATAAACAAAACATGGCATATACATGAATGGAAGATTATTCAACCTTAACAGGAAATGAAATTTTAACATATATCCTATATAGCATGAATGAACCTTGAAGACATTCTACTGAGTGAAATAGGCCAGTCACAAAAAAGATACATTCTCTGAATCCACTTATATGAGGTACCAAGAACACTCAAATACATAGAGGTAGAAAGTAGAATGGTGGCTGCCAACTGCTGGGGAGGCTGGAGTGGGGAGTTGTTTAATGCAAATGGAGTTTCACTTTTGCAAAGTGAAGAGTTCTGCAGATGGATAGTGGTGATGGTTGCACCACAATGTGTATGTACTAAATTCTACTGAACTGTACACTTAAAATTTGTTAAGATGGTAAACCTTATGTTTATTTTACCAAAATTGAAAAGTGTAAAAAAAAAAAAAAAGGCAGGCCTTCTGGTGCCCTGCCCCAGAATAACTCCCCCTTCAAGGTGAAAGGCTCTGTCTGCAAGGGTGCCCTGGAGAGGAAAAGGACATTATTCATCAGCCCCTAGGCAGTAAAGGAGGGGCACCTGGAGAAATGAAACTTACCCAGGTGGTGGGGGCCATGAGGCCCACAGATCAAACTACAGGCAGGGGACTCTGACTGGTAATGAGCAGGCCTGAACTTGTACCTGCTGGCTGGCCAGAGGTCTGAGCTGTTGACTTCTGTGAAGAACATGAGGCCAGCATGGATCTGGGCTCCCAAGTTGAATATGACCTACCTAGTGCTGGCAGACACTTGAGCGTGACCTGATCCTACCCCTGCTTGTAGAAACAAACCAACCAAGTCCCAGAGACAGAATGCAGCCCCTCATCTCCAATCATGTGTAGTGTCCATTTCTGATAATGTGGGTATGGAAGAGACTCCATCAGGCTCCCGTGCCTTCATATTAACAATTAAGTTGAGCTCCAGCTCCCAGGGTGGAAGTGAGGTGAGGCCTGTAGGAAGGAGAGTGTAAGGAGGGTGTAAATTGCAACTCCTTTCCTATTTTCTCTGGATCCAGCTGTGGGAAGGAGAATATAAGGAGGGTGTAAGTTGCAACTCCTTTCCTATTTTCTCTGGATCCAGCTGACACTGACATCTCAGTGGCCATATGGGTACACTACGTGCACAGAGCCTATGGCCATCACTGTCTTCCTCAGAAACAAATGTTCATAAAACTGGAGGTGTTCTGCCTTACTGCTCCGTGACATGTGGACGCTCAGAGCCCTGCCCTCTGTCTCATAGTTTGACCAAACCCAGGTGGATCCATGGGAGGGCAGGGTAGAGGGTTCTCACTTGCCCTAAACGTGGAGCTTTCCCTGCCCGCCCTTTTCTTTTGGTAATCCTCAAGGTCACAGGACACAGAAACAATGCATGAAAAAGGTTGGCCCGAAAAGTTATCTATTGCGAAGCTGATTTCTCTGCAAATAGTTTAGCTTGGCGATTAGTGCTGGCGATCTGAAGTAGGCAGATCCCCTCTAACCACCAGTACGTAATAGTTGAGGCAACAAAAAACTGGGAAATATGCACCCTGCAATATAGGATGGTTGAGTTGTAAAAATTAAACGGGAAAAACGTGTGCAAAAGTACAGGCACACAGTGGGTACACAATACGTGGACAGCTACTGCACTAAAACTAGATCAAGAACACAGGAAAACTTGAGTTGCCGTGAACGAGCTAGCGTAATTTTTCTGCTGGAGATCAACCGTGTTACCTTGGCCCGCCAGCTCCGGCTTCCCCTCCTCTTGTGCAGAATCACCTGCAGAAGACCAGCGTTCACTTCAACCCCGCTCTTCCTCCCGCATTGCGGTACTCCGCAAGGCAGCCAATCAGATAGCGGCGTTTTCCACAGGGCGGAACTTCCTGCTGCCGGCGCGCACGCCTGCGTACGGTGTGCTGCCCCGGAACTGCGGTAGGCGCTGCCGCTGAGGACGCTGGCGGTTTGTGAGGCAGTTGGGCCATGTCTGAGGGAGCTGGGGCGCCGTCTCCGCACAGTGAGTACCAAAAACTCGAGCGGGGCTGGAGCCACTTCCCGAGAGGGGCTGGGGGCAGGACCCGGACTGTCATCGCTGGCTTCCCCGGGCTGCAGGGTTCCCCAGGTTCAGAGAGGGCGGCCATCCCGCCAAACTGCGTGCCATGGTCCACGCGTCCTGGGCCCCTTCTCCTGGCCTCGCGTCCTGCTGGCCTCGGTGTAGTGCGCCGGTTCAGGCCTGAGACGAAGCGGGAGCGCCGATCACGGGACTGACGCCGCGAGGAAAGACCCTGCACGTTCTGCGACCCTGCAGGTTGCCCTACGCGTCCTCGCCTTCCCTCTAGTGACAGTCCCCGCCCCCTTCTCGCAGTGGAACCCGGATTATTTGTTAACGTGGCGTAGTTTGTACGGTGGGCAAATGTTCACTGTCTGCTAACTTGCTTGTCTCGTCAAGCGCCATGCTAAGTGGGTTTTAACATGCGTCACCCTTTCGTATCGACATAACAATCCTGTGGGACAAATGTCCTTATTCCCGTTTTGCAGACGAGGAAACTGAGGCCCACAGAGTTTAATACAAATACTACCGATGCAGAGCTGGCAAGTGGTGGGGTCTGGATTTGAATCGGAAATTGAAAAGGTCTTTGCCTTTTCCACAGACTCCCTAATCTTTTCTTGGGCTTTCGGAAAAGGGAGAGCATGGATTGAGTTCCACCCAAACGAATTTTGCCTAAATGGTCTTTAAAATGTAGTGAAAAGACTAGATGGGTTTTAAGCCATTTGGTAAAGGCCAGAATGATGGAACAGGCATTTGTCCCTCTGGGGCAAGGCTCCAGAAGGAAGAAAGCTCAGTACACTTTTAATAAAACTCAGCTCTCCCTGGGAGGTTGAGGCAGGTGGATTGCCTGAGCTCACAGGTTTGAGACCAGCCTGAGCCTGAGTGAGACCTCACCTCTAAAAATAGCCAGGTGTTGTGGCAGAGGCCTTTAGTCCCACCTACTCGGGAGGCTGAGGCAAGAGGCTCACTTGAGCTCAAGAGTTTGAGGTTGCTGTGAGCTGTGATGCCCTGGCACTCTACCAAGGGCGACAAAGTGAGACTCTGTCTCCAAAAAAAAAATAAATAAAACTCACCTCTTTACCTGTGCCCCCCTTCCAAAAGAAGCCCTAGCATTCTTTTTCAAAATGGCTTTGTGTGGCTAAATTTATCCACCATGTTTTACGTGATTTTCTTTACTTATACAAAACACAAAACTAAGATACCAAAACCTCCTCCCCTTTCTTAATAGATGAGAGAACTCTGAAGTATGGAGAGAAGTAAATAGCACTGTCCAAAGTCGCACAGTAGGTGTTGGATATGGAATTAAAGCCAGATCTAGCTCATATATCTTCATTTCATCCCCTGTGTACATTCTGTTTCAGGTAAAGCTGCCTGTTCTGTGGTATTTTTTTCCTCCTTTGATCTTCTCTAGCTGGGAACATCTTTATGTCCTCAGTTCTTTGCAGGGCCTGGTACTTGATAGGTTGCTTAGAAAATATTTGTTGAATCAAAATCCTATGCTTGTCAGTCACCGACTTAATAGAGCATTTCTCTTCTTTTCTTTTCAGGAACCATGAAGTTGAAAGAGGCAAAATCAAGGCCAAAGCCACCAAACTATGGCAAATTCCGAACAAAGGGAATCAAAGTTGTGGGGAAATGGAAGCAGGTGAAGATTGACCCAAATATGTTTGCAGATGGACAGATGGATGACTTGGTGTGCTTTGAGGAACTGACAGATTATCAGTTGGTCTCCTCTGCCAAGAATTCCTCCAGTCTCTTCTCAAAGGATGAGCCCAAGAAAAGAAAGGTACAAGCTGTTTCAGAAGAAGAGGAAGGAGAGTCTAGCTCCCCAAAGAAAAAGATCAAGTTGAAGAAGAATAAAGATGTGGCATCTGAAGGAACTAGTATCCAGAAAAAGTTTGAAATCAAAGATGCTGAGCCAGAGTCCCAGGGAGATGGCACCATTATTCCTGATCCAGAGGTAGAGGAGGTGGCATCAGAAAACCTGGCCCATAGTGTTCCAAAAAAGAAGAAAAAGAAAGGGAAGAAAAAGTTGGAGCCTTCCCAGAGCACTACTGCTAAGGTGCCCAAACAGGCAAAGACATGGATGCCAGAAGTTAGTGACCAGAAGGCAGACGTATCAGCTTGGAAAGACCTGTTTGTGCCCAAGCCTGTTCTCCGAGCACTCAGCTTTCTAGGTTTCTCTGCACCTACACCAATCCAAGCCCTGACCTTAGCACCTGCCATCCGTGATAAGCTGGACATCCTTGGGGCTGCTGAGACAGGTAAAGGCAACTCTAGGGGAGGGATTGCTTCTGGATGGAGCCTGTAGTAGGCTAGAGTATGACCAAGAGAGGGGGAAATGTTTAGAATATAACCACAATGCAATGTTGAATGAAGTGTTTAGAAATCACCCAGCTCTGGGTTAAAAACTGCCCCTTCTTGATTGGTACCCTAGTCAGATCACTTAATTGCTCTGAGATGTAAAGACCCCATTACCAAATAGACATAACAACCCTATGGCTTGCCTTACTTGAAGGATTAAGTGCTACAGTAAACTAAAGCTTAAGCAGTATCTTGCAAGTGATCTGTATGTAAATGGTGTATTTTCCTATTCTTAGGACTTTTCCAAATGGCTCAAAGGGATAAGGAAAGATTAGTTCTCTGGAAAGGTAGATAGATCTTCAGGAGCATCAGGAATAATTGTCTTAGTTCTCAACAGTTATCAAAAGGTAAAAAGAGTTGCTGCTTTGGGAGTTGTTGAGTTTCTTGTCATTGGAAGGATTTAAATTCTGTGGTTAACTATTGAGTGGATTTTGTAGAGATTCAGGTGGGAGGTGACTGTTAGGACTAGGCCGTGTTGGGCAGCGCCTGTGGCTCAAAGGAGTAGGGTGCCGGCCCCATATGCCGGAGGTGGTGGGTTTAAACCCAGCGCTGGCCAAAAACTGCAAAAAAAAAAAAAAAAAGGACTAGGCTGTGTTTAAGGTTCCTTATATTGCGAATGAGGTTTGGGAGCAATGACTGGTTGATTCACTGGGTAGACTAGACTACTGACTTGAGGAAGGAACTTGTACTGCCTAGAACTATTAGTCCATTTAGACCAGAAGTATCCAATAGAAATATATACAGCTGTCCCTTGGTATTTGTGGGAGATTGGTTTCAGGAACCCCCTCAGATAACAAAATCACAGATGCTGAAGTTCCTTATATAAATAAAATAGTGCAGTACTTACATATAACCTGTGTACATCTTCTATACTTTAAATCATCTTTAGATTACTTATAATACCTAATACAATATAAATGATATGTAAATAGTTTGTCATACAATGCAGTTTAGGGAATAATAAGTCTGTACATATACAAACACAATTTTTTTCAATTATTTTCAATCCGCAGTTGGTTGAATCCATGGAGGTGGAATCCATGGATATATAGGGGCTGACTGTATCATGTGACCCACATGTAATTTAAAATTTCCTAGGAGCCACATTTTAAAAGTTAAAAAAAGTGAAATTAAGTTTAGCAATATTTAACCAATATATCAAAATATTTCAATATGTAATTCATGTGACATTATTCGTGAGATACTTTGCAGTCTTATTTTTGTAATAGATTTTCAAAATGTGGTATGTGTTTTAGACTTGCAGCCACATGTCATTTTGGAGTAATTACATTTTAAGAGTTCAGTAGACTTTTTAGTGCTTTCAGGTTTTGGAAGAGTGGGGTGGAAACTTGACATGAGGTTCTATCATTGTAATACAGATGGAAGAGCAAGGCAACCCCAGGAGAGGAGAATGAGGTAATAATAATAACTTAGAGCATTTGCTCTGCATTTATAATGTGTCATGCACTGTGTTACCTTGAACTCAGTTTTCATAACCTCCATGAGGTAGATAACTATTATTCCCATTTTACAGGTAAGGGAAAACCTCACAGAGGATAGACAGCTACCCTAAAATTACATAATTGAAGATGATAATGATTGAATTCTAAGCTAGGTCTGTATGTTGTTAAGCATTCTGCTATATTGTTTTGGTAAGTGCAGAGTCCTTGACATGGGTCTCTGAAAGGCAGAGGCAAGATCTATATGATCTACTAGGGCTAGAACCATTTGAATTCATACCCACAGCTCCTGTCAGGCTTTCTTCATGGAATGCTGTAAACCAAGAGGTCCGTAATTCAACTTGGGATAGTCCACACATTGGGGCTGTTAACAGGCTGCTGCCCATGGAATGAGTTCAGTTGACCCTTGAATGACAGGAAGATTAAGGGAATGGGTCCTTCACACAGTTGGAAATCCATGTTTAATTTTTTTTTGCAGTTTTTTTTGGTTTGTTTTTTTTCTTTTGCCGGGGCTGGGTTTTTGAACCCACTTTGGTATATGGGACTGGTGCCCTACTCCTTGAGCCACAGGTGACGCCCCCATGTTTAACTTTTGACTCCCCCACAACATACTAATAGCCTACAATTGACTAGAAGCCTTATCAATAACATAATCACTCATAACACGTTTTGTATGTTATATGTATATTCTAACAATAAATTAAGCTAGAGGAGTAATTAGAGAAAGCATGCTAGTGTCTTGGTATGCTCAGTCTTTATTTTATACTTTGAAAATTTTAGTATTATTTCCTTGGGTTTCTCTAGTGACTAATGATGTTGAACATCTCTTCATGTGCTTATTTGTCATCCATATTATCTCCTATGGTGTCTGTTCAATTCTTGTGCCCATTTTTTTAGATGGGATGTTGTTCTCCTTTTGTAGAGTTTTGACAGTTCATTATATATTCTAGATACATGCTTTATCAAATATATGATTTGCAAATTTTTCTTCCACTTTTTGGATTATTTTTTCATCCTGTCAGCAGTGAGCACAAGGTCTTCCTTTCAATGAAATTCAAATTATCACCTTTTTCTTTATGGGTCATGTTCTTGTTTTATCTAAGAATCGTTTGCCTAACCCAGGATCAACTTCTACCATGTTTTCTTCTAGACATGTTACTAGTTTTAGGTTTTATGTTTCACTCTTTTAAAAATTTATTTCATTGTGAAAATAAACTGTTCCTTATTTTGCATATTGACGGTTAATTATTTCAGCTCCATTTGTTGAAAAACTATTCTTTTCTCACTAAAGTGACTTTGCATCTTTGTTGAAATTTTTTTTGTTTAAGACAAAGTCTCATTCTCTTGCCTGGCCTAGAGTATAGTGGCCAATGGTGTAGTCCAGGCATCCTCAAACTACAGCCCGCGGACCACATGCAGCCACATTTATCCAGCCTGCCAGGTGTTTTTGCCGCCACTGCCTGTCCTGCTTAGCCGCCGACTCGTCCTGGGGGCCCGCAGTCCGGCCCTCCAAAGGTCTGAGGGACAGTGAACTGGCCCCCTGTTTAAAAAGTTTGAGGACCCTGGGTAGTCTCACCTCACTGCAACCTCAGACTCCTGGGCTCACAGGTGCTTTTGTTCTCAGCTCCTGGGATCAAGTGATCCTTTTTTGTCTCAGCCTCCTGATAGCTAGGATTGTAGGCACATGCTGCCACACCACTGCTAATTTTTCTACTTTTTGTAGAGATAGGGTCTTGCTTTTCCTCCGGCTTAGAGTCTTTTCTTTCCCCACTGATCTATTTGTCTCTTCTGGTCAGTATTTCACTATCTTGGTTGTAATGAGTCTTAAAATCAGGCACTATAAAAGTCTTCCAACTTTGTTCTTAGAAGTTATTTCACCTATTCTAGGCCTTTGCATTCCCATATGAATTTTAGAATCGGTTTATCAATTTCTATAAAAATGCAGGCTGCTTTTGAATTGGGATTGCATTGATTACAGAGCAAATTGAAAAAAGATTACTTTTTAACAATATTGAATTTTCTAATCCATGAATGTGGTATATCTCTGCATTTTGTTTAGGTCTTTAACCTTTCTTAGCAATGTTTTATAATTTTTAGTATATAAGTTTTCACATTTTTGTTAGATTTACCCTTAAGCATGTTATATTTTTAATGTTATTGTAAATGGTTATTTAAAATTTTGTATTTCCAGTTGTTGCTAATGAATAGGAGTAGGATGAATTTTTGTATAATGACTTGTATTCAACAACTTGGTATTGTCAGTGGTTTTCTGAGGTTTCCATGGTATTTTCTACAAAGATGATTGTATTATTCATTCTGGTTGCCTTTTATTTCTACTACATCAGCTAAGACATCTTTACAACTTTGAATGAAGTTGTAAGATGGTAGAGTTGAAATGGTAGAGTTGGCATTATTATTTTGTTTCTGGTCTTTGGGGGGAAGCAGTCTTTGACCAGTAAGTCTGATATTAGGGAAAGTGTTTTGTAGATTTTCTTTATCAGGCTGAAGTTCTCTTATATTTTTATTTATTCATTTATTTTCTTTTTGAGACAGAGTCTCAAGCTTTTGCCCTGGGTAGAGTGCTCTGGCATCATAGCTCACAGCAACCTCCAACTCTTGGGCTCAAGCAATCCTCTTGCCTCAGTTTTCCTATTTTTAGTAGAGACAGGGTCTTGATTTTGCTCAAGCTGGTCTTGAACTTGTGAGCTCAAACTATCCACCCACCTTGGCTTCCCCGAGTGCTAGGATTGCAGGTGTGAGCCACTGCGCCTGGCCTCTCTTATGTTTTTAGTTTGCTGAGAGTTTTTATCAGGATCGAATGTTGGATTTTTTTTTTACAGCTGCTTTTCACTGCATATATTAAGATATGTGGTTATTCATTTTTAGTCTGTAGATGCAATTGATTCAAATATGAAATTAACATTCCTGGGATAAACTGAACTTGGTCACAGTGTATTATTGTATTTATATATTGTTAAATTTGATTTACTAAAATTTTGTTGAGAATTTTTGAATTTGTCTTTATGGGGTGTTGGTCTGTAGTTTTAACTACAGATTTACTTTAATATATTTGTTTTAAATATAAACAGACTATAGACTTTAATATATTTGAGATTTTTGTGTTATTTATATCTTCTTGAGTAAAATGTTTTTTACTTGAAGTTCTGTTAACTCTTGATTCATGTATTTTGATGACCTGTTATGAGGTACATAAATGTTTCATGGTTCAGAACGTTATTGTTATATTCTCTAGGTAAATTGTTGGCTCTTTTTCATGATGAAATAGGCATCTTTATCCCAGGTGTTCCTTGTTCTAAAACCTACTTTGATATTGTAGCCATTCCAGCTTTATTTGATTAAGATAAGCCTGGTGTGCTTTCTCCATACTTTTACTTTTCACCTGTTCATGTCTGTATATTTAATGTGGATTTCTTTTAGGCAGCATATAATTGGGTCTTGCTGTTTAATTTGACAATCTCTGTCTTTTAGTTGAATTATTGAGGTCATTTACATTTATTGTGATTTTGACTGATTTACAATGAGTGGATTTAAATGTTATATGGCTATTTTCTTTTAGGCCCAGCTGTTCTTTGTTCCCTTTTTCTACCTTTGTGATTGAGATGGTGTGGGGTGTGTGTGTATTGTCAAGATCTGCTTTTATCCACAGAACACTTCTGATCCTTAACAAGTGGGTTTTTCCCAAACCAACAACCAGTTCAGCAAACCTCTATATACCAACTAGGTGTTCCACAGTTCCATTCAGTTCAGACACTTATCTACCTGTAGTTAGTGTCATTCTTAAGGATTTAGTCCAGTGAGATTGCACCCCATTCCTGATGCTAATCACAAGTATTGGGCTTTAGGTACTTTTGATAGACTGGCTACAAACTGGCCACAACACTCTCCTTAGGTTAAATAACTTACCATATTGGCTCACAGAAATCAGGAAAACACTTCACTTAAATTTGCCTGTTTATATATAATAAAAGATACAACTCAGAAACAGCCAGATGGAAGGAGGATCCTGCCTCCTCCCAATACCAGCTTAGGGCAAGCTTTGGAGGAGACAGGATGTGAAGTTTCAATACCCTCTGGTATTTCAGTACCACCCTTGATATGTTTACGAATCCTTAAGCTAATTTCTGGAAGCTTCTATTACATGGATGATTGATTAAATCATTAGCCCATTAATGATAGAGGTCAATCTCCAGCCCATTTTTATTCCCTAAAGGTTGAGGGGCACAGGGAGTTGAAAGGTACAACCCTCTTATCACATAGTTGATTCCTCCCCCACCAGCTCCCAGGCTTCTAGGGACTCTAGCCATCAGCCATCTCATTAACATACAAAACAATGCTCCTGGAGGCCCAGCCTGCTAGTGGCTCCTACCTGTAATCCTATCATTCTGGGAGGTGGAGGAGGGTAAATCACTTGAACTTGGAGTTTTAAGACTGCCTAAGCAAGAGTGACACCATCTCCACACCTTCTCTACTGAAAAAAAAAATTTTTTTAGCTGGGTGTTGTGGTAGGTTACCATAGTCCCAGCTACTCGGAAGGCAAAGGCAAAGAAGATCTCCTGAGCCAAGAGTTTGAGGTTGCTGTAAGCTATCATGACAACATAGCACTCAACCCCAGGGTGGCAGAGTGAAAAAAAAAAAAATCAAAAAGCAATACTCTTAAACTACTACGATATTCTTAGAGTTTTATAAGGTCTTGGTCTTGTATTAGGAACTAAAGTAGGGTGACCAGATTTTAACATTTGTAAAGTGGGACAACATGGCGGGGGAGGGGAGAGCAGGACAGGGCAGGGCAGGGCCTGACAACAATGCAAACTTTGATAAGCAGTTCTCGATAATCACTTCTCAATAATTATTTGTTATTATTACAGTTTAACATTATAAAATTAGGCTTGGTGCCTGTGGCTCAAGTGGCTAAGGTGCCAGCCACATACACCTAAGGTGGCGGGTTCAAATCCAGCAAGGCCCGCCGAACAACAATGACGGCTGCAACCAAAAAAAAATATCTGGGCGTTGTGGTGGGCACCTGTAGTCCTAGCTACTTGGGAGGCAGAGGCAGGAGACTCACTTGAGCCCAGGAGTTGGAGGTTACTGTGAGCTGTGATGCCACGGCACTCTACCCAGGGGGACAGCATGAGGCTCTGTCTCAAAAAAAAATTAAAAAAATTTTTAAAAATTATAAAATTAACAAAAATAATATAAAACTCATATTCTGGAGAAATAGCCACATATGGCAGTGTTATGCCCGAAATTTCCCCAAAGTGGCCCCAGCAAACTGTCCAAGACACACTCCAATGTAATAAGCAAGAGGTGAGTTTTATTCAGCCCGGGAAGCCCAAGCCTGGACTCTCCTGGTGTACACACCGAGGAAGAGCCCCGAACTCGGGGTAGAGCAAGTTTTTATGGGATACAGAAAGCAAGAAGGGTAGGGTCCGTTACGAATACACTCTTGATTGGTGGTTAGTGATTTCATTAGTAAAGGAGGATTTGCATTGGTGGTTGATGATTTCACTAGTAAAGGAGAATTTGGATTGGTACAGGTGAGGGGTGGGGGGTGTCTTAACCAGGGGCTAGAGTTGGTGCAGCCTGATTAGGTGGCTGGAGGGAAATACCTGTATTTCAAGGAAGTAGAAACCTATTGCCTATTATGGGAGCTGTTCAAGGGAACTGATACTTATTGCCTATTATGGCAGCTGTCTGCCTTAGGTGACTCAATTCAACGGCTTAATGGCTGTGCAACCAGGGGTGGGGGAGGCAGCAGGGAGTGGCCCTGCAGGTTAACAGAGCTCATGTCGTATACAACAAAATGGTGCTGGTCTGGCCCTTACAGGGGCCGAAAACCATATATTCCCTTCCTGTTCTCCAGCCCATTCGTGCATTCTTTCCAAAAATGTGGGACTTTTTAAAAATGCCGCGGGACATGGGACAAATTGTTAAAAAGCAGGACGTCTGGTCACCCTAAACTAAAGACTAAAACCAAATATTATAACAAGCTGCCCTTATCACTCAGGAGATTACAAGGGTTTTAGAAGCTCTGTGCTAGGAAATGGGGGACAGAAACCAAATATATGTTTACTGATAACCATTTTATGTTTTTTGTCTTATTAGCAATAATTCTTTTTTATGTCTCTTTAGTGATTGCTTTGGGTTTATAATATGCATCTTTATCATAGTTTACCTTCAAGTGATATACTGTATCACATATAGGGTAAGAACCTTAGAATAGTAGTTTCCATTTCTCTCCTTGGTGGTTGTTACTGTATACCTTATTTCTATGTGTGTTAGAAATCCCAACATATATTTTCATGTTTTTGATTTAAAAAATTATTTTTATAGAGAAAGAAGAGAAAGAAGTTGTGTATATGTGTACTGTTTTTATCTGTGTAGTTATCATTTCTGATAGTCTTCATTCCTTTATGTAGATCTAAACTTTCAACTAATAAATCATCTTTTCTTCTACATGAAAGACTTTCTTTAATATTTCTTATAGTCATATCTGCTGCTGAATTAATTATTTTAGCTTTTGTATGCTTTATTTGACATCTGTGGGTTTTTTTGAGAGTCACACTGTTGCCTAGGTAGAGTGCCATGGAGTCATCATAGCTCACAGCAACCTCACTCTCTTTAACTTAGGTGATCTTCTTAAGCCTCCCAAGTAGCTGAGACTCCAGGTGCCCACCACTAAGCCAGCTAGTTTTTCTATTTTTAGTGGAGATGGGGTCTTGCTCTTCCTCAGGCTGGTCTTCTGAGCTCAAGCAATCCACCTGCCACAGCCTCCCAGAGTGCTAGGATTACAGGTGTGAGCCACTGTGCCTGCCCACTTCGCATCTGTTTTGACAGATTTTTGCTAGATGTAGAATTGTAAGATTGCCAGCTTTACTTTCTTTAGGTTTTTTAGATAAAAATATTGCTACACTGTTTTCTGGCTTTTATTGTTTCTGATGAAAAGTCTGCTATTTTTCTTGTCTGAAGTTTATTTTTGCTCTTTTTTCTTATAGTTCTTGCTTATTGTACCTTCTTAATGTGTTTAGTTATTTTATTTATTTATTTATTTTTGAGATAGAGTCTTACTTTGTAGCCCTTGGTAGAGTGCTGTGGCGTTACAGCTCACAGCAACCTCCAACTCTTGGGCTTAAGCGATTCTCTTGCTTCAACCTCCTGAGTAGCTGGGATTATAGGCGCCCGCCACAGTTCTTTTGTTGCAGTGTCATTGTTGTTTTAGCTGGTCAGGGCCGGGTTCGAACTCACCACCCTGGGTATATAGGGCTGGAGCCTACCCACTGAGCCATAGGTGCCACCCTGTTATTTTTAATTGAGAGTTATTCATTTCCTTTGAGAATTACTTACGAAAATTCTTTGAGACCTATAGTAAAGATTTCTTCAGAGAGCACTTACTTGCTTCTGCCTGGGGCATTACTTTGGAGCTACTTCAGATTCTCAGCTTGATTTGTCTTCTTTGTTTTGACCACCCAGATGAAGCGAATTTGATTTCCATATGCATTGAAAGGTCAGTTTAAAAATGTTCAGAACTGACAAAAGTATTATATTTAATTTTTTTTTAAAGTAAGAAAATTTTCTTTTATTTCCTTCTACCTCATCAAAGAAAGGTCTTGGGAAACTATTGTATAGAATTCATTTCTTGCCCCCTCCCACAATATATTGTTCCTTCACAGCAACAAAACACAAAAATTTGCCCTTTATCTGTTTATAGTTTCATTGCTTAAATGTTTGTAGTTCATCACTGGTGACCTTGGGCCTCCATGTCAGTCTGCTAGACTTTCTCTAAGACTCCTAATTATACTTATCTCTGTTTGCAATGCTATCAGGGAACCTATACAAAACAGAGGAGCTTTGGGTTGGTCAGGATCATACTTGGCTATTTCCACATTGCTCATTCTGTGCAAAGGAAGGAATTCCAGACAAAAGTATGTGCATCTGTTGATTCACATTGTGTTTGTTTTGCTTTTTACCTCTAAGGAAGTGGGAAAACTCTTGCCTTTGCCATCCCAGTCATTCATGCAGTGTTGCAGTGGCAGAAGAGGGAGCCTGTTCAAAGTAACACTGAAGCACCACCTGGACAGACCAAGACTGAGGCCAGAGCTGAGACTAAATCATCAAGCAAGGCTGGAAATGAGTCTGGAGTGTTGCCTGATGAGACTGGAATTGAGAGTGAAACACTGCCCACTGAGGCTGGAGCTGAGTCTGGGGTGCTGCTCAACAAGGTCAGAGCCAAGACAGTAGGCACCGTCTCAGACCAGGCACTACTCTTCTGTGATGATGATGCTGGTGAAGGGCCTTCTTCCCTGATCAACGAGAACCCTGTCCCCGAACAAAATGAGGATGAAGAAGAAAAGCTTGACAAAGAGCATACTGAAAAGTTAAAACAAGAGTCAGATGGCAAAAATGCCATCTATAAAGCATATCCAAAGCATCCTCTGCTTGGACTTGTTCTGACTCCTACTCGAGAACTGGCTGTCCAGGTCAGACAACACATTGATGCTGTGGCCAAGTTCACAGGTGAGGTTTCATTGCAGTTCATCAGCATTTTTTAAGTGAATCCTAAATGGTATTAGAACTTTATTCTGTCAGGGAATTCCTTTGGGGAAGGGCTGCACAACAGAAATTTTAATTTTATAATAAAAGCAGTGGTTAATTACCACATTCTTGCTACATGCAAGACACATTGCTAAGCACTTTACCTACATAATTGATTCTGTGTATTCATTCCTACACCAATAACTGTGAAAAGTCCTCCACCAGAGAGGAAAACATTTGGCATTAAAGGAGCTTCAGATTATACCTAATTGAGGGGAATGGGAAAACAGCTACAGGTAACATCATTCCTAGTATGGTAGTGCCCCACTCCTTAGTTTTCCTAGGCTTTGCCTGGCTTCATATCCAATCCTTCTCTTGTGGTTGGAAGGGAGGGGAGTAAAAGGAAATGAGGTTGGAGTAGTAGACAAGGCCTGGATTACAGAAGATTTGTTAAGCCTTCTAGGAGTGGCACCAATAATCAAATCAGGCCAGCTTTTTTAGCATCCCCCTGTCTTCCCCCCCCCCCACCCCAAACAGGGAGCTGTGTTGGTGATTGTCTCTGGTACTCTGAGGGCATTTGTGTCAGTTCTGTAAGAAAGTAAGCAGCCAGACTGAATAACTTCTTTCCCTAATGTGTTCTGTCCCATAGGAATTAAAACTGCTATTTTGGTTGGTGGAATGTCCACACAGAAACAGCAGAGAATGCTGAAGCGCTGTCCTGAGATTGTGATTGCCACCCCAGGCCGGCTGTGGGAACTAGTTAAAGAAAAACACCCTCATTTGAGCAATCTTCGGCAGCTCAGGTGATATATGGTACCTTTCCTTTTCCCCTTCATCCCTTTTTCTGAAATGAGCTTCAAATGACATGGTGTGGACAGTGCCTTATCACAAAATGCCATGGTGTGGTGTCATCCAAACCCTAGGCTTTAGAAAGTCAAACATGCATGAGGAAGGTTAGTTGAAGCCCTGGTGCCGTGGTGGTGGTAGTGGTGTACATCTAGGTGTGGGTGTGTGTAAGGTTAGGGTGGGAGTAAGGTGTGCTGTAGATGATGATTCTTACCTTCCACTAACCAGTGATGTGTATCTGTCTGGATCTATAGGTGTCTAGTAATAGATGAGGCTGACCGGATGGTTGAGAAAGGCCATTTTGCTGAGCTCTCACAGCTGCTAGAAATGCTCAACGACTCCCAATACAACCCAAAGAGACAAACACTTGTTTTTTCTGCTACACTAACCCTAATTCATCAAGTTCCTGCTCGAATCCTTCATAAGAAACATACAAAGAAAATGGACAAAACTGCCAAACTTGACCTCCTCATGCAGAAGATTGGCATGAGAAGCAAACCCAAGGTCATTGATCTCACAAGGAAGGAGGCCACAGTGGAGACACTAACAGAGACCAAGATTCATTGTGAGACTGATGAGAAAGACTTTTACCTGTACTACTTCCTGATGCAGTATCCAGGCCGCAGCTTAGTGTTTGCCAACAGTATCTCTTGCATCAAACGCCTCTCTGGGCTCCTCAAAGTTCTGGATATCATGCCACTGACCCTGCATGCCTGTATGCATCAGAAGCAGAGGCTCAGAAACCTGGAGCAATTTGCTCATCTGGAAGAGTAAGTCAGGCCTGTCCTCAGAGGCCTACCCTCTAGTTACTGGGCTTAAGGGGGCCAAAATGGTGGGGAAATCATGGGAAAGTTACCTTCTATCACAGGAGTTCTATAGGTAGAAGGTAGCCCTCTCCGATCACATTTAACAAAGTCACCCCTGTTTATTGGATTTGGATGCTGTTAATGCCCTACAGAAACTTACATAATAATGCATAATGGTGATAATATTTACTATTATTAAATACTTAGGAAGATAAGTCCTGTGCTAGCCCTTTAGATGTATTAATCACTCTATCTCCTACCATCCTTGAGAAGAAGCAGAATAGATTCCTGGTAAAGCACACAAAATCTGGAACCAGATGCCTGAGATCAAATCCTGGCTCTCTCATTTCATAGCTGATCAAGTTATTTAACTACTCTGTTTTAATTTTCTCATTATTGGGATAATAATAGAAGCTACATCATAGGGTTGTTACCAGGATTAAGTGATTGTGAATTCATGCATATAAAGTGTTTGGAACACTCTCTGGCTTGTAGTATGTACTTGCTAAATGTTAGTTTTAATAATTTCTAGTCCCACTACTACCTCTTATTATCATTATCTCTTTTCTCATTTTATAGATGAAAAAATGAGGTCTAGAAAAGTCAAATTAGTTTGCCAAGGTTTCTCAGCCTGGAAGTGGGAGAGCTGGGCCTCAGACAAGTCTGCAAGACCCCTGAGCCCATGTGTCTCACCTTCTGCTTCTGTCTTTGTCCGTCTGCCTTTGGACCAGACTGACATTCAGGGAGCAGGCTGCAGATTGTCAAGATCAGGAACTGGGACACTGAGGGTGACTCTAAATTGCCTTTTGCCTGGTAGTGTTTTGTCAGGTCACAAGGTGATTATTTCTCAAATAAGTGTTTGGTTTGACTCTTCTTGAACATTGTTAAGTAATGTGAGTGGGATTATCTCAGAGCAGGGCTTGGCAAACGATAGCCCACATGCCAAATCTTGCTTCCTGTTGTTTGTTGAAGAGATGAGAGTCTTGCCTAGGCTGGACTTGAATTCCAAGCAATCTTCCTGTTTCAGCCTCCCCTTTAGCTGGGACTATAGGTGCATGACACTGTGCCTGGGTGCTACTACATATTTTAATAATAAAATTTTATTGGAACACAGCAAAACCCAAGTATGTATTGTTTACAGCTACCTTTGCACTGAACTGGCAGAATTGAACAGTTGCCAGAGAGATGGTATGATAAAGCAGAAAATTTGCTATCTGGCTCTTTATGGAAGGTGTTTGCTGACCCTGACTTATAGCAATGTTTTACAAACTAATTTGCATCACATTCTTCAGCCCTAGATAAGGGCTAGGGCCATTGAAGAACCAGAATCTTAACTTTTTGAGTCATGCCTCAAGTGCTTTTGACTTTCCTCGTACCACACATATTTATCTTGTGCTCACTATGAACCCGGCATTATTCTAGGTGCTGTAATACAATAGTGAGTAATGCAGAGTCCTTGCTCACAGAGCTTACATTCTAGTGGAGGGGAAGAGTAAATTGCAAATAAGTCCACAGTATATCAAGTGGTGCTATGAAGTAGATTGAGCAGGGAATGGGGAAAGGAGACTAGATACATGTGGTCAGGGAAGCCTTTTCTGGAAAGATGAGATTTGAGCAGAGAGCTAAAGAAAGAAATAAAGTGAGTGGCTCAGCGCCTATAGCTCAACCGGCTAAGGCGCCAGCCACGTACACCTAAGGTGGCGGGTTTGAGTCCCCAGCCCGGACCCGCCAAACAACAATGACGGCTGCAACCAAAAAATAGCCGGGCGTTGTGGC